TGTTGATGCAGTATTGAAAATTCAATCGTGAATATCGCACAAAGTGTTGACTATTGGACACTATAATGGGGTATTTTCGTAAACAGAATAACGAAGTTCACCAGCATGCAGAGTCTCAATAGAATTGATGATCCCGTGGGTCTTGCACTCTCTTTGTGAGCAACGCACTTTACCTACAAACTGAACTACTCGCGTTATCGTCGTAACTCATTCTATCTCGATATGTTTCCTTCGTGTTCTTGGTCACGCGATAGACTTATGGATGTGATTGACTTAGCCAGTAATGAGAATTCGTGTGACTGAAGGTGGTCTGATTAATTTGATTCGTCGACAACTTACGATCTTTGCGTAGTACTTATAATTTCGCGTTGTTTATCAGACGGACACGTCTCTATCGCTCGTGCAACAAGAGCAGGTTGCAGGGGACACCTGAGAGCCCAGTCGAGGATTCTGAAGATACGAGACCTTGTTTACGTTATTGTTCGATCCGAGCGTTCGTCATTCAACTCAATTTCGGACGAATGCGAAGCGTTTGAAATTGCATTGCATCAGAGTAACGGTAGCCTCGAACTTTATGGTAACCTTCTGGCAGAAAGTATTTAATCGAATGAATTACCATGATCGCTATAGCAATTGTGTACACAATTGCCGGGAATGAAGAAAGATTTTTTATAGGTATTAGCCACTTTAATTTATTAATTTAGTTTCTGTTTTTCGTGAAAGTAATAAGCGTTAATTATCAAACTGATTCGTTTTTGTTTTGTTTTTAATACCTCTTGGTTTACTTAAATTTTCAAAAGAAATTTGGGATCACTACAGGCCCCATGTACACACACTTGTGATTTTGCCAGTGCGGCTACTTAATGGTTAAGGAAATTGAATACGAATTAATTCTGAACATATTAATTAATAATTAATACTATTTCTCATTGGAAATAATACTCCTGAGCCTACTGTGGATCTTTGGAGGAAATCATAGGGAATAATAAATGTCCTGGAGTTTTAGTTAAATGAGTAACTATTTAGTATAAATAGTCTAAAGTTAATTACGTAAGGTATGCAACACTTGGGCGATACTTTTGTAAAGGGATATGAGTAACGATGAGAGGCTCCATCGACAAATGTATAAAGAAAAGTGCATTAGTAGACTAACCTATTTTAGAATGTTCTACGAAGTGGATAAATTGAAATAGTCGTTACAAAAGTGGTATCGCCTTATAAAGAGTAATAATATTTATTTATGTTTATACTTGTTATTACACTGCGGATTTCACGCATTTACGCTACATGCACGTATGCAAAATACAGTAACGTATAAAGATTCATTAAGTTTAATAAACAGACTGTGGACATTCGTGCAAATGCAAATTTTTATGAAGCAGTATGCAGAAACTGGATTCGAACAGAAATTCGATAACTATTTTAAGGATCCTTTTAAATTCCAAATAAAATAATAACCTCATTAAACATTCTTAAACTGTTTACTGTTCTAAATATGTAATGGCGGTTTTATCATTGAAAATCTTTATTAATTGTGAAAAATATTTACGATGTCTGTTTTTCGAGATAGATCTCATTTTCTACAACTATTCTGCCTCATTCCGGCAAGAGTTGAGTTTTCCTTCCAGAAAATAGAATAAAACCACAATATAAACGTAAATGTGACGGTCATTACTTCTGCATAATCTAATATTATAATTTTTAATTAACACGGAGACAATGTTGGAAATTTTTAATTCACTAATCGTAAGTGGGTAACAACTATTCGAATACTGACGACTTGATCAATAGTATATACACAATCCCGTTCATAAATATTAGGACACTTATCGAATATAAAGTAATTACAATAAGGAATTACAAAATTGTTGAATGCCTGAAATAAATATTTTGTAGAGGATTTTAAAATTCAATGGACCACAGTTATGTTAATATAAATTAATTGAAATGATCAAAAATATATAACATATAATTCAGTGAAATGACAGAACATGAAAGCTGGTCCAAAGAAACTTTGCATTCCCAGTTCGCGTACATGACCCCCGCATGAAATTCGAGAGTTCTACTTTTATTAAAACGGCACTTGTTTTGCGTTGTTAAAAGCTCGGCCAGCATAATGCAAAGCTTCAAAGCGTAATGCAATACCCGAGTATTACATTTCCCGGCTGGTTCCTTTTTTCTATGTCGTCCGGAGTCGTTATTACTTTTGCTTCAGCGTATTCATCTTCTGATATCGTAAAAAATCTCTTTTACTCCTTATAACACCGACCCGGGAAATGATCCAACCTCTACATGCCCTCGCATACATACGTCCACATTGTAATCAATAGGCGTGGGAAATTTTACAAATCGAGGAGCATTTATTAATTCAGTTCATTCGTTACGATCAACCTTTCATTGTATAATTTGTTAATATTATAACGAGCATTTGACGTCAATTAGTGGTTTTATATGTTATTTAAATGAGCCGTTTACAAGCCAAATTGAATAAGTCCGTTTGAAATTTTTTGAATTTTTGTACATTTTAGTGCCAAAACACTCAATTGGTTAACTTTTAAAAAGTCTAATTATAACTAAAAGTTGTCCCAACAACATTCCGTTCACCTTCATTTCCATCAATTAAACGAAGAAGAGTCAACAACATGTTCTACATTCAAATGAACGTAGAAAAATCTTTGATTATTAGAATACATTTCGTACACTACTTTTTATGCCATTACTTTATTTTAATGAGTTTTTTCTATATATATAAGTAAGCCAATCATTACTATTAAACAATTTTTTCCACGCCCACAGTACTGAAAACATTTGTTGCGTCAGTCTCAAATTAACGAAGTATGTACACAATTTTCAGAGCAATACGATTAATGATTAAATAATTCGTATGATTCGTATTATGATAAAATCATTAGTATCCAACTTACTTTGACCACAATAGTGAGCTACACATTTTTGCAATAAATGCAATTTCATTTCATTTTCTCAATACTAATAATAAGAGAATTATAAGGGATAACCTGTGTAATACTCATGCACTGTAAAATGAATTGTTGAATTATTATTCCTACAATTAAACTTGGTCTAAGCTAATCTAAAATCAAATTAAGGAAATATACTTACATGTCGCTTCATCATTATACAGGATGTCCCTAGTTTTTTCCGCAAAACGAGGCCAGCATTTTCTACGAGAAAACGTACAACAAAAATATCATACAAACAGAGGCTCAAAAATGCTTTATTATTGCTTCTTCTTTAATTATTTAATTTTTTTTAATTATTCAATTATTTAATTATTTAATTATTTAATTATTTAATTATTTAATTATTTAAATACACTGTTCAACACGTAAAATTTTTTGCAATTGTCAATAAGCGTTTCTGATAGATATTTATGAGCTAAATACGAATCTGTAAACCGTTTCTTTCCAGCACGTCCAGTTTTTGAAAAAGTCAAACTTGAAAAAATTGCAAATTTTCAACTTTGGAGCTGTGTTGTGCTTTTACAGTAATAGTTATTCAGTTTCTTTTTACACGAATTAATTCTCTGGACTCTTGCGTACAAAATGATATAAATTGTTATTAGATTATAAACATCTAAATTTGTTTAAATAATGTTCAAAGTGAAAAGCACACCGAAAATGCACCACTTTTCGCTGATATTCTTTAATTTATTTCAAAAACTAAAGATCTAGGAGAAAATCGAACCGGAATTCATATCATCGACACAATTTTTTGACAAAGCATTTTCGAGCCTAATGATGATGATGACGATGAACTTGATGTTTAAGTCACGTGTTTCTCTTATTTTTACTCGTAGAACGTGCTGGCATCGTTTCGCGGAAAAAATTATGGTCACCCTTTTATATATAAACGACCCGAACCACTGTTCATGAGGATTAGTATTCCACAGATGCAACAAACATTTCCAGTATTCCAAGCGTATCAATCTTTCGTAACATAAGTTGGAGTACTTACACTCACAATCAGTCAGGGTAACTTTGTCCCAAAATCCGAAAAAGATCATTTTCGACTTTGCAGTTCTGTAAATTGTAAAATTAAGTTGACTTGGGGGTAAAAAGGTGCTTCAACTAAACTTGCGGTATTAAAAAAAAGGTATTCAGTGATCACAAAAGCAAATAGAACTGCCGTCCGCCCGGTGCATTCAACGAAGAAATGGAACCGGTAACCCATTCACGTCCAGCTAACTTCCGTCGTATATCAGACACCGTTTTTTCTCGTTATAACTTTCGGTCCCCCCGGTATCAGTCTTCGTATTTCATCCACGGGGAAATATCCTTCCAGGTCTCGCAGTTGGACGCAACGTTCGCCCGGCATCGGCGGCACAGACTGTTCGCGTCCCGCGTGTTTCATCCAAGCTTCCGGCGGTATCCGCGGAGCCGGAAACCTTTATTCCCGGGTCCGTGTATCAAACGCGACGGATCGACGATACACGTTGTCCCGTTTGGAAAACGGCGAACTTCAAACGGGAATTAACGGTAGCGACAGCCGCGTTTCGAAAATTCAACGCGAAAAGCCGGCGGCCATCAACGGGCAATAATCTCGGCGGCGTTTATTCTATTCTTGTTGGCGGACTCCCGCGCGGGCAAACCGGAAAAGCGTAATTTGTTGCAACGGGGTGAACAATCCTGCATTGCCTGAAATCCCGTGATTTCCAGAGAAACCCGTCGGAAAATGAAGGGAATTCTCGCGCGGTGTCCGCGCGTTTCTGTTTTTTCTTTGTTTTTGTACGCCACGCCGTTCGAAAAAGAGAACCGAACTTGCTAGGCAAGATAAATACATAGTTGTTGGTGGGAAGTTTTAGTGGTGGAAGATGTATGGCGCAATTAGTGTCAGTTTTTTTTTTATGAATTATACTGTAGGGAATACAAGGTGACAATGAAATACTCGCAATACTTTCAAAGACTATAACTCTATGAAAACTCATCGAATTAAAACAATTTTTATTTTATTTTAAAGAATACAAAACGCTAAATAAAATTTTACAATAAGTATTCAAAATGTTCTCCTTTAGCCTTCACACAAGCTCTGAGACGCTTCTTAAAATTACTTGCTATGATTGCACACTCTTCAGTAGTAATTTGATTCCAGGCTCTTTCTAAAGCAGACTTTAACTGTTCTACGGTGGTGTATTTCTTGGAGGAGATTTTTCTCTCCAAAATTGACCAAACTGAATAATCCATTGTATTGAGATCGGGTGAATTTGATCGACATATCGTTCTATCCCACACCTCCGAAAGCAGCTCTTTGCACATTCTCATTGTCGATTGGTCTTGTTGTAAAATCCACTTATTCTTTTCAAAGTGCTGACGTGCGCACGGGTAAAGTACATCTCTAAGGATGCGTTGTTGATAGGTGATGGCGTTGATTTTTAAGCCTTTGTCTACAAAAACCAACGGCGTTTTGCCTGTCGCGCAAAAACCGGCCCAAACCATTACAGAAGTCGGAAAATGGCGACATTGCACAGAAACTCGCCTTGCTGACTTATTTGAGCCCTTTCGCAACAATTGTCTATCGTTCTGACGGTCATGACATCGCTCAATTGTAAACATTTTTTCATCTGTAAAAAGCACAGAACGGTGACGACCACACGCAACCAGTTGAAGAAATTTCCTCGCTTTCTTCCTTCGCTGCTTTGTCATTTCTTCCGTCAGATAATGACACCAAACCAGCTTATAAGAATTTTGACCATCAATCCCAGTGATTCGCGGTTAGTGCCAATGGTTTTAGCCATTTTTCTCATTGATTGGACAGAAGTACGATAAATTCGGCAACGTATTTTGTTGAGATTATTCGAAGTAACAACTGTTGGTTTTTGTCCCCTCCCTTGTCTATCTTCACATCCACCAGTCTCCTTGTATCGTTTGATAGCGTCGTACATGGTTCTAACTGGCATTTTGAGCAGTTTCGATATAGCTTTTGTTTTATGTCCCTTTTTGTACAAATTTATAACCGAGATACGAGCTTCTTTCACCATTTTTGAATCGTATAATATCATAAAAGTTCATGGAGGGCAACACTAAAGTATACAGAATTTCCCGCGAAATTCAAATATAGCATTCATTGTAAACGAAAAATAATAAAAACAGGATAACCACCTGAGCACAAAAAAATGCGGGTATTTTATTGTCACCCTGTAAATACGTAGGGATAGGCTACAGTTAATTACAGAAGCATCCACCCAGTCTATATGTATATCTGGACCCTAGAGCCAGAGTGTATTAAGTCAGACTTTTCAAATTTTAGAGCAGAGCAAATCAAAGGTGCAAAAACATTGTAACTTTGGAAATATTCATTAAGAATTCAATGAGAAACAACCGCTTGTACTATTGATCGGATTTAAGATTTTAGGTCCTCTATCTATGTCAACGGTGGACTAACTGTGGCTCGAGAGTCGTATGCGGTTCCTAAAGCTACTCTGTGCGCCTCTGAGACAATATTCAGGTTTCATTGCTATTTTTCCTAACTTTAATATTAATATTATAGTATCTACGAAATATAAATACAATTTTAAAATAATATGTTTTGTGGCTCCTGAATATTTAAAAATGTATGAAAAGTATTAAATGTGGCTCTGATTATCGAAAAACTTGTCCACCACTGCTCTATGTGATGGAGTTTACACTGTTTGCCTAGAGAAAATAGGTGGAGTTAATATCATTTTTACACTGTTGTATTCAAAATTAAACGACTTAGGACGAGATAACTTTTATCATCGGAGAGTGAAAAGTGTATTACTGGAAACATGTAAAATGTAATTTTAAAAAAAAAATGGACTAAATACACTGTGGCTCTGGGATCCAGATATACCTTATTTATATAAATAATGTTAAATCAGAATAAAATATTATAATTTGTTTGGTTTAAACATTCTGTAGATTAGGATGTGTTCAACTATGAAATTATGCATAGTTTACTTTAAAAAGTATTGTTATTTTTAAAAGTGACAGAAAACACGAAAATCCAATTTCCCTCAAAAAGATGGATCTGGTACCATCAATTACAAAAACATACTTTAAATAACTTTTATTGCGGTCCTGATCGTTAAAAATATTTTCTATTATACTTCCTGATCGTTAAAAATATTTTCTATTATACTTGGAAGTGGCAGCAACAGAACATATCGAATTTTACAGCGTAAAAATATTTTAATCTATGAATAAAATGAAAACACTACATTATAACCGTGGGAATATCCCTCAAAATATCGATTTGCTGTAAATAAGTTTGTATGAAATAAATGTTTACTTTCGGCGGATACTTTTGTGTGTCTTTTTTGCTCATTCCACTGATAATGGTACTTCTTTAATTAACTTACGTATAATTTTGTAATTGAATGCATTCTAATTTAAAGTGTACTAACCGAGGTTCATATTAGTGCAAACAAGCACTTATCTTACTATCTTTATTATTTAGCGTAATGATTAAATTGCGGATGTTATGCATTTATAGAATATCCGATCGTCTAAAATTCAGTGTAGTAAAAAGTTTCAGAAACTTTATAATGGTTTTATTTCGAAATAGGGGAATTAAGTGAATTTATAGTGTTACGTATTTGAATTTAAGTATATTACAACATATTACATTATACACACGCGGACCGGACTCGGACGGAATGCACGCGGACGCTCACCGCACAAACGTCATCTCACTGTACAAAAGCAAAAGAAAGAGCTCCGGAAATATTTTGAAATGGCGCTTATTACAAAATTCCAACACATTGTTCAAGTTTTCTGTTTATTTCAAGTCTACTGGAACCCTAAACAAAGTAAATTAATTTTTCTTTGCGTCTATTTTTGAGAAATTAATCCATAACATACCTACAATTATATTTGAATAAACATCCACTAGTTATGATATACATGACTATTAAAACCAAACTTATGTTTATTCATCCAATGGACATAAATGTTCTTCATTGATAATGAGAGTGGCGAAATGAAAGAATTGTCAGTATTTAAGTAAACTATAGATATAAAAGGAAGTATATCTGTATTTAATCATAAAGTAGAGAATGCCAGAATGAAACAATGATTGATGAAAGCACAGACGATATATGTATATCGAATTAATATATCGGAATCAAAACAATTTGAATTTCTGAAACACAAAGACCTATGCACGCTTTATGCATCCTCGATTACGACATAACATAAAGCCACCAGAAATTGTGTTTCACATTCCTTCAAATCGTAATGAAAAATATACATCCCTACGGAGTAAACATGAAACGGAGGTGAATTAGAATTTCTAATTGTTCTTTGCTGCCGGAATGAAGTTCACCACTTAGACGAGCATTTGCAAATTTATCTGCAAGTCACATTAATCTTCGCGCGGAACGGAGAATTTCAACGGATGCAAACTTCGACAGGACTAATCAGAGACACCAGAGACGTTCATTTTTCATCATCAAGAAACAATATCAAGAGCTACGAAACACTATGCTTTTATATTCAACCTTGACTTTTATTCATCAATGAGTACACTAGCGGACAAAAAAAGTTACCACATTTTCGATTTGTTTTATTTTTTAACGTCAACTTAAAACTTTACTACGCGTTCCATATATATTCCGACAGAGAATTAAAAGCTGTATAAAATCCAGTACATTATGATTTTAAGTTGATGTTAAAAAATAATAAAAATAAATAAATCAGAAACGTGGTAATTTTTTGGTCTCCTATACTATATATAATTTTCTTTAATTCATATATACGTATGTATATTATGTATCTTATTCTATCACATGCTGCAATCATCTATTGCTTCATATTTTCTGGTATTGGGTACTTCTTAATAAACAGCATTTTTCAATGCTCCCCAGAGAAAAAAATTTAATGGGGTTAAATCTGAAGAACGAGGTGGCCAAGAAACTAATCCTCTACGCTGTATCCATTTATTTGGGTAAAGTTCGTTTAGTGCATCTCTTACTCTCCGAGCATAATGTGCTGGACACCCGTCGTGCTGTAACCACATCATTTGGCGAACGTTTAGTGGTACATTTTCTAATACAGTCCCCCATGAAATAATACAGCATGTGCTGGAATAAATTCAGAAACGATAAGACATGCACGTGATGCAGCGACACGAAGATTGCAACTTTGCATTGACGCAAACAGTCACCACTTCCAGCATCTCCTGTAATGTAAAAAAGTTTATTTTACTACCATATTTGACTTTGTATGACCTTCAATGATAGCTCACTGAAGTCGTCTCATCACCGGCTGTCACATCGCGATAAAAAAAAACGTAGCATTCCATTAAAAAAAAATGAAGATGACCTTGAAAACTCCTCTATGCCTTCACCCACGCAGAAAATGTTTGTGTCACAATATGCCACCCTCTGTACCGTGGAAGTTTTGTATATAACATTTTTTCATATTATTAGAAATAACGGCAATATTCAAAGTGGACATTGTTATTGCCCCACCCTGTATAATGATCGTTATCGTTATTATTGTTAGTTTTCGTATTTTGCGTACTGAACTATACAGCAAGTAAAACAAAATTAGTCAAAGTTAACGAAAGACTCGTTTTATTAGGGGCACCAACAAGTAATCGACTATTGTTTTTTAATTATGATGTGATATATTGTAAACAGAAAATGTGTTCCCCACTTTTCACCGACTACAAACAGCGTAGAATCTTGACAAATTATTATTAACCCTCACATTACGATGGCTGGTTCCCTTCGTTCAGTATGCCCCGATGTTTTGAAGAAAAGGATTCAGTAAAATTAAGACACTTAAGCTAGGGTATCTATTATTTTGTTAGACACTGTATCTGACGAATGAACAAAAATTAATTTTCACAAAAATACAAATTCTATATATTTTTTTTTACAATTCTTGTAAATGAATGTAATTTTTTTATATAGTATATACATATAGTGTCTAGTATAGATCACGTGTGACTCGAATATAGGCTTTCACATCCGTCATATAAATGTTAATATGACTCTCAACTTCTACAGAAATGAATACTGATTTCGCCAAGAAATAGTGGATCACTTATCAGTGAACGTAGGATTTGTAACTCAATAAAATCATTCATCGATGTTTAACCGTTGCCTTTCACAAAATAGTCTGTAAAAATATTATGAAGTTGCACAAAGATACTATTCTTGTAATTTGACATTCTCACCTCATGATTTTGTTCTTGAAACCCAATTTAGACTTTGCAATAGTAGACAAGATGTTTCTCCGAAAACATTCGATCCTACAAACAAACAATCCTGGACAGCTGTGGAACTTCAATTCCTTTGAATGCCCATAGTTTGTGGCAAGAGCCCATTCATCCATCGACTTTTGACGGCGTTGCTGGCTGGAAGTGGGAAAAGGAAAGGGGATGAAGGATGAAACTAGGTCTGTGCAGTTAGCACACCCAAATACAAAATTTTATGAAAAACAAACAGTATTCGTCTGTCCACGATTTGTTCACATTTGTCCAACCAAAATTTTCGTTTGTCCACCCAGCAGAATCGAATTATTAACAAAAAAGAAACACAAAAAAATTAGATTTAATCGCTCAGGGTATTTCTTATTGCATTTTCTCTAAACTATATAAAATAAATTCGGCTTTCAGCACGTTCTCTATTAAATCGTATAAACCTTTTGACCAATCTAGATAAAATTTTATGTTGATACTATCTACACTTCTGCGAAAAATATAGGCTATTATGAAACCTGGATACCCTACCCTTTTGCTGAATTCGTCTTCATAACACTTTGTGATAATCTAAGTATAGTGTATTATACATATTATGCAGGGTGTCCAATGTGAGATGGTCCCCTTAAATGTCTCCGAAATTAGTGATGATACCGGAAAATATTTCGAACAAATGTTGAATGGTTTTGAGAGGGCCATAATTTGGTGTCAATAGTTTTCTTTGGAGGTGGAGGCGTAGAGGACGCGATGTGTACTTTACACTAAAGGAATATGGAAGAAGTAATTAATAAAGACGCACTCCGTTGCACG